TTGGTTAATAAAGAATCTGCTTCTGCCTGTGGCAGGGCAGAATAGAGCTATGTGGGAAAACTAAACTGAATACATGTAGAAAGAAGGCAGACTCAGACAGGCACCACTTAGTTTTCAAAGGAGAAAGATACCAGAACCTTACCAATAGGCCACAACCTCACAATCACAATCTATGGTGATAGATTAATAGAAATGAGTTAATTTAGGATATAAGTGTTACTAAATTGTCTGAGTTTCTGTCCCGCCTGATCCCCACAGTTGTTAATTCCCAAAGAAATCACACAGAGGTCTACATTAGTTATAAATTGTTTGGTCTACTAGCTCAGGCAGGCTTCTAATTAACTCTTATAAGTTACATTAACCCATTATTCTTATCCATGTTAGCCACGATTCAGTACCTTATTTAGCAAGGCAGTCACATCTTCCTTCTTCTGTGGTAGGGCCAGGACTGCCGACCAAGCTCCCTTCTTCCCAGAATTTTTCTGTTCTCATTAACCCACCTCTACTCCCTGTCTTGTCCCACCTATACTTCCTGTCTGACTGTTGGCCAATCAGCATTTATTTAAAATATAATTGACAGAATACAGACCATTGCCCCACACCAGAAGCCTGTGTTAGGAATCCAAACAATGTTGTAACTAATATAATTTTCTGTAATTATTTGGATTGGGGCAGCTGGGAAACCAAAAAACAATGTCCATCTGCAAATGGGGCCCAAACATTTGACAAGAATATTCACATAAAGCATAAGAAAGCTTTAAAAAGGGGGGGGGGGCTTGTAGACTCACAAAAGTGAGAGTCAAGTGGAGTTTCTTTGTAGCCACATTTTTTTTTCCAGATAGGCTGTTTGCTTGCAGTGAGCAGAGGTGCATCTCCTGTAAGAGAATGCTTCCTGACACAGGATTTGTTGCAAAAAGCTCATTGTTTTATTAGAGATGGTGGCTCTTGCTCTTTTGAGAGATCCTGCACTTAAATGGGTTTTGTGAGCAGAGTGCCACAAGGTACTAAAAGGTGACATAGATAAACTGTGTCCCTGGAGCTGGGGAAATGAGCATGGATCACAGAACTGGAGGTAAATATACCAATGCCATATTAAAAGACCAAGACAGACAAAGCCAGCATCCAGGGCCACCGTGGCCATGTTGCTTATTATTTTAAGAAGTACTCCTAGTAAGGGAAGGATTATGTATATGCAATAAAGACAAGTCAATTAAAAACACTCTAAATGGGTCATAGTGTTGTATAAAAAATGTATATGGGATTTAGAGAGAAGAAAGAGTATAAACAGTCATCAATTAAAGGACTAAAGATAATAAAATAAATATTAAAACATAATAAAATAGAAAAGCCAACTAAATATGGAAAATACTCAAAGAGATTGAAGTATGTATATTATTTTGTTTTCTATATTTTTTTTGACCATGAATGAACTAACTGCAGAGAGAGATTTCATTTTATGGGCCGATAAGCTAAGCTAACCAATGTATTTTAAAGGTATCTTGACTTCAAACTTTGAGTAACAAGATAAATTATTTTGGAAAAGAGAGTCTGCTATGGATTCCTTCCAGTCTAATGTGGTTTGATGGAACAAGAACCCCAAAGGGGTCTTCATGAACCTTAAAAATAAGTCATCTAAAAAACAGCAGGAAGCTGTTTGGAGTAGACAGTACTCAAATTCCTGAAATGATTGTTTATGAACTTATGGTTTTTTGATATAAATTTAAGATCAATTTTGTTATATGTATATTTTTACTCTTGTTTAAGGCATTATGTTTATACAAGTCATTCAAAATATAATATATAATTAAAATTACAGACTAATAGAGAGTCATTTAAAACAAAGACATATTTCAGTTAGATAGATTATCTTCAACACTTGAAAGACCTACAGAATATGGCCTTTAAAAGGTTTGAGAATTTAGGCTTGTCTCAACAGTGAGACATATCTGCTTCTGGCAGCACTGATCTACTTCAAGAGGATGATGGGCATTGAAGAAGCTCCTTATGGAGTTTGCTCACCATTTGGGCAAGAAAATGCTCTTGCCTGTGATGCTTGACAGTATGCTGTATGAATGGAACATACAAGACCCTTAAAAATGACTGATGAACTTGCCTAAAGAAAGTGAGACAGTTTTACAGGGATTTTGCTTCATGAAAGAGTCTGCCAGACATTCTGCAGGACACAAAAGAAAGTGACTGACAAACTGTCAATATAGGCCAAACAGTGTCTCTAATTTTGTTTCATGGAAATGTCTGCAAGAGACTATGGGTCAGTTGTCTGAAGAAGGATGCTTCAATGTTATAGAAAAACTTTGGGTGACTGTCCAAACAGCCAAATTTTTCTGTCAATTTTAGAGTTTTGGATGTTGCTTACAATGTACTTTCTGCGAGTCTTTGATGGAGTTGAAGGGAGTTATAGTTTTTCTTAGTTACGATAAAAGATAAATTAGATATTAAACTTCAGACTCATAAATAAATATTTTAACTGTAATTCTTTCTTGGTACCTGTTTTGTTATGTGTAATTTCACTATGTTGAAGATAAAACCTTCTTTTTTATTGAGATAGAAAAGTGGAAATGATGTGGGATTTCCCTCTGCATGCTGTGAACATGTTTTAATACCATTCATTAATAAAGGAGTTGCTTTGCCTTTTGGCAGGGCAAAATGGAGGTAGGCAAGGAAACTTAACTGAATGTAGGTAGAAAGAAGACAGGGTCGGGCATATGCCTTGTAGCTATTGAAGGGGAAAGAGAATGTAAACTTACTAGTAGGTTACAGTCTCGTGGTGATATGTAGATTAATCGAAATGAGTTAATTTAAGATGCAAGTGTTACTTGATGAGATGCCTGAGCTAAGAGGCCAGTGTTGTGATTAATATAGTTTTTTTTTGTAATTATTTGTCTCTGGGGTGCTGAGAAACAAAAAGCAGTATCCATTTACAATCCTACACTTCTCCAAATCCTTGCATCTTACTGCTGGTCTATGCTAATGGATGATTTGAGCAATTGATGCATAGTTGTTGATTTTCCTGAAAGCAGAGTGTGGATTGTTCTCTTTGAGACCACCCACATCATGGTGCTCTCTCCCACTTCCATTTTCCCCCATTTTGTTGCTAAGTGACTTGGAAACCCAGTGCAGAAGAAAACCAAGAGTTAAAGTGATCAGTATTTCTACAGCAGTCTGGTGTGACATCGTTTGGACAGACTAGTGCAATCTCCTCCTCCTTCTCTGTGTGAGCTTCTGTGGCCTTTCTTGGGCTTTTTGCTGAAGACCCCTATGCAGTGCCTCAGGCTAGCTTCTCAGTGTCTGATAAGGACGTCTGGCTCCTGACATTCCCATCTGTTCCATTCCCATGTCACCTAAACACACACCTTTTGAGGAAAAAACACTTAAAAAGAGAGCAGTTTCCCTTCCTTATTTTCCATATCATATTACAAAGAAGTGTATTTATTTATGTGTATATACATATATAATATATTGTACACATATATTCATATATATCATAATTGGAGGGACTATGGCTCATTCTTAGGCTAGCTCTCATTTTTTCCTTTCCTTATTTTCCTACATGTGTTAGGCATGGACTAAATATAGTTTCAATTCTGCATGAAGCTACGTGATTTCTTTCGAGTCCTCTTCACTTAGCTTGAGTTGATGAGAAAGGCATCATTTCATGCCTAATGTTTCTTTGCAGCAAAGATCTCTGCGAGTTCCCATCCCCCACATGCTTCCTCCTCTACCACATTGGCTATAGATGAGGGAGGCTGTGAGCTAATGTGGCAGACACTGTTAACATCTTCACATACAGGAAAGAGATGATCTAGAACTGCAGTATACTGAGTTGCTGCAACCTCAAGGAATACTGAAAACATCTCATTTATATCTATGTTACATGATGATTGGAAAACGTGTGCAATCCAGATTTCTTTTTCCCAATGTGTGGATTGCTTCATACATTAAAATTTTTGAGGCCATTCTGAGGATTTGTTGTTAGGTATTGTATTGGTCAGTGTGGCTTGGTGACAAAGGAAGAGGTGCAGCTCTGAAATCTGAAAGGCCTCTGTGAGGTACCTTGATGGATTTGGCATCTCCAACGCCTGTATATTGGTTTACAGTACAGTAAAGAAGTGTGCCCTGCAGAATGTAAAAGATGATATGGGAATTGCGGGATATTCACATGCCAGGGTTGCTCTGATTGTGAATATCTGCCCTGAATAGAACTCCCAGGTATCCCACAAATACAATATTGATCCCCTTCAAATCGACATCCCCTTACGAGGGTCTTTAAACTCTTAGCCACCATTAAGTTTCTTCACAGAGAATCCAGCTTTTAGTACATGCAGGCACATTAAGACCTTACTCAAACTTTAAGTATCAAGACCAACTTTATGGGCATGTCATCTGTGTTATGACAAATGATTCTATAACAGCGAGATCTCTGTAACTGTTTTAATATTCTCATAGTTTCCCTTGAAATTTTAAAGAGTCACCATATATTCACAATTCACTGGGCTTGAAAATTATGTATTCAATCTTGATTAATTTCATAGTGTATATTGGTAGATTAGAATATCCATGATTAAATGGTTCTTTACGTTTAATTGGACTTAAAAAAATATACCAGTTGAATTGAAAAATGAGCATGATTAACAAAAAACTTAAGCTGCATCACAATGAACTTGTAAATTTATGATAGTGGAAACAAATTGTGACAGTTCATATTAAGGTCCTACTAATGTACTTTACCTACTAGTAACGCATTTTAGAATGTATTATAGGGGTCAAATTTTACATACACTCTACCTGTTCTACTTTGGATATTTAATTTAGTTCTAACATTACAAAACCAAATAGCATAATTCTGCATAAAATTAATTCATAAGTTATTGTTTCATTCATATACAGATCCACTCTTCTGCTAATAAAGCATTGGTATTACTAGAGAATTCTGAGTCCTGGTACTTTTCTAACATTTGTTTTTATTTAACGTCTATTTGTAGGGAAATATCTGGGAACAGATTTTACGAATCCCATTCATCTTGGAAATAATCAATGCGGTCCCATTCATTATCTCAGTAAGTCTAAGAATCTTAAAGAGTTATTTGTCATTAGAGTTTAATAAATTTAATAAGTATAAATACTTCTACATAGTATAACATGAGACATGGATTCACACTTTTGAATAGAATCTGGCTCCTTAAAAAGAAGAAAGTTTGATCGACTAAGTTGCATAGTTAAATGAAATCTAGTAAGTTTCAGTACAGTAGCAAAATGAAACCTTTTAAAGAATTATATAGTGTATGTAGAGTTCTCATGTGAATAGATGTCAATATTGTTTAAGGATCTTCAAAATTACACACACACACACATATATATATATGAATTGTAAAAATAGAAACTAATAGTATGAAATATTTACCAGAATTCTCATACTGAAATCACGCTAAGTTCTAGTTTATTTATAGAATTTATACAGTTCAGTCTTTCATTAGTAGGACAGTGAATGAGAACCAAATGATCAAGTGATCCTCAAAGTTCTGAATTTTCTCCTGCAACAATCCTATACTACAGTCACTCTGTTCTATTCGGTCCCAAATATAAATAATCTTCATTATGTTGTTCATAAAATTAGGTTCCAATATCATTTTGATATGACAATTATTAGTGGAATTATGACTGGTTGGACCTTATGTGAAGCAAATGAAAAGTGAGTAGATATTATCTGGAGTTGCTCCTTACTTTTTATAGTCTAATTTGAGTGACTTAGCTACAGAGAGAGCAGGAATAGAATAAATGACAAGCTAACTAGATATCATTACAAATGAATGCAGCTTCTCACCATCATTTGATGTGGTTGAACCTGAAGACAGTGATATGTTAAAAAAAAGACTCTTCTTTTACCTCTTTATCTCCTCAGGTAGAGGAACAGCAAAGTAAAAGCACATTATAATATTTAATAATAGATTCAGCATGGTTATGTCTGACACAGGTTGAAGCCTCCTGTTTTATGCCTCTCTGCTAGTTTCCCTAGGAAAGATTTAAGCAATGAGTGAAACACCATTTAGTAGTATTGATATTAAACTATTTGACACTGTTGAAATCCTTTCTTTTTTCTTAACCTTTATTCTATCTGATGTTTCTTTTTCATATTCTCGATATAATTTCTTTCTGCGAGGTAAAGATTTAGTTTTTGTTTATTTTACAGATATTCTGGCCTACCTTAAGGAATCTATTCGTTCCAGTTTTTCTAAACTGTTGGCTTGCCAAACATGCATTGGAAAATATGATTGTAAGTAATAAAATCAAAGTAAAAAAATAAAAATATTTTTAGCGTCTACTATTTCTTACTTGATTTTACTGCTTCAATAGAAAAAGATTATTTGGCCTTTAGTCTATTCCTTTGCAGTTTCATCTACCTCTATAAATTTATATAACCTACAAAATTTATCCAATTTGAAGGTTATTAAAATTTTAAATGTTTTTATTTAAAACTTTTACCATAATTAACTGTCTCCAAAAGTTTTATTTAAATGTGTAGTGGTAAGCTACTGCTAAGTGCTTAATGTACTCTATAGATTACATAATTATAGTTAATATAAGGTAAATGTTTTTTGCTATATTCTAATAAGAATGAAAATCTGTGAAAATGCTTGCATTCCCTAGGTATTCAAGGCTTCGGTTTTGAAAAGACAATGGTTCAGGCCTTTTGAATTCATCAATTCAGCACCTAACCGCTGTTTACACAGGTCCAAAGGTTTGAACAGTGTCTCCCAATAGAAGCATCCTTCAGTTTTAAGGCCAACTGCTCATGTATATGTGCCTCATGGTTCATAAGCCTTAGCTTTTAAATTACTTAGGAATGCTTTTTTCTACTACTTCAAGTTTCATAAAAATGTGGGGTTTTGTCAGGCCCTTTCAGAACGAGTACCTCCTCATTTGTGATCATTCTCTTAGATTCAGTTATGTTGAGCTGAGTGGCAGATGTAACTCAGAAAGCTGAGATGGAGAAAGACGTGAACACTTCCCAGCTGTGCCTTAGTGTTCCTCCACATCCGTCGAAGGTTGACGCTCTTTGGAAGGAGTCACTTATACCTATGACCTGAAAGTGTTCACCACTGTTTTCAGCACTTACAAGCAAGTTGTTAGAGATTCATTAATTTGCCGATCTTTATTCAAACGCTAATGTGTGTCCAGAATAAGGCACTTTGCTATGTCCAATATCTGATGGAAAGCAATTTAAGGAAAGAAAGATTCACTTGGTTTACTGTTCCAAAGACTCCAGTGCGACACAGTATGGAAGGTATTGCATGGCCACGGGAAAGGTATTTCAGTAACTGCCTTGCATGCTGGGTCACATCTTGTTTTGAAGTCAGGAAGCAAGACAGTCGGTAGAAAGTGGAACCAGACATTAAAATCCCAATGTTTACAGTAGGGCCTCACCACACAATCCTCCTAAATGGTGCCACCTTCTGAGCACAAGTGTTAAAGCACATGAGTCTTTAGGACTATACAGTTCAACCTGGTTGTGAACTCACAATTTCCCTTTAATAGGTCTTTGTTTACTAAGAGAACAGTCTGCCTGCATCATCATAGTGGACTGGGTATGTCTGGGAGTAATAAATGGAACTTGTGATCTCTTTTTTGCAAAGAATGTGACCTGAAATTTAGTGTTCTATTGGTCTTCCCATAGTCTGTCTTTCTAATATGAAATCTATTGTAACTTCTGTCTAGATCCATGTAAAATGATAATATATTGCTAAATTCACTTAAATATACATATTATATGTACAGAGGATGAAATTTGAACTCATGTATATTTAGTATTAATCAAAACTTAAAATATGTTTTTCTATTATCCTAGAATGATCTTCATAGAGCCATTCAGCGAACACAGTCTGCAATGTTTAATCAAGTTTTGATTTTGATATCTACATTCCTATGCCTTATCTTCACTTGGTAAGATCATTTATAGCAGTCCTCTTACTATTTTGTTTTATTTCAGTTTTATGGAAAACTGCATTATAAAACAGTTTAAGCAATATTTGGCTAATGTAAAGTATGCTCATCATAATGCATAAAAAGTTAACTACAGAAGTGAAATAGAATCTTTGTTAGTCTTGCAGACAAAACAAGAAAGCCTGTGTACAATTTGACCTTGAAATTTATGGTAACTCTGACATTTTCTCAAATGCTGTCAAAAGCCAAATCACAAGGATTTTGCCTTCATGCCATGGTTGTCAAACACCCATTTTCCCTTCAGATCATTGGCATATAAGTAGACTCAGGTCTGTTTTCTTCAGAACAGAAATTTTGTTGAAGATATTGTCATTCCCCGTTACTTCCCTCATGTCTCTGCATAGTTTTTTAGTGTGGGATTTGGAATGCTGTGGCAGGAGTCTTGGCAGTGGAATGTGAGGCCTGGCATTTTGATTTATTGTGTCTTAAGTTATTTTCTCTTTTGGAAATCATACTTAATATTACAGTGTTCTAATGTAACAGAGTATATTTTATCTTTGGGTTCATGTATTTTTTTTGCAACAGAAAAATAGTTGAACGATGAGCAGAACGGTGTTTGTCTCACAGGTTATAGATTCTATTTGTACTTATCTATAACATGTTTGGCCTATTTAGAATGAGAAAAAACTAATTGCTAGTAGGAACAATCAGTCCGCACACACCTTGGTACATCTGCTGGATTACAAACATTGCAGTTGATGTGTGTATGCAAACTTTGGTGTGTTATATCTATAAGTTATTTTGTACTAATATGTGTGGTTAATATTAAATATACTTTAAATATGTCTATTGTATATTTTGCTCTTTAAAATGAACATAATATTGCTAATATTTAAATATTAAAATTTGTAGATAATGTTTTACAAAAGACTATTATGATACCTCTAATAAATATCTAACTACGTAAATAAAATCCCCCAGAAATGCTAAAATAATTTCATCACACGATACTGAAAACTCTATTAAATTAAGTGATTTCTATTCCAATGTCACTAAAAATTCTTGATTGAAATATAAAAACATATATTCAATAACAATTTTGACCTTAAGTAATTGACAAATTTAAAATGTCTATGCTTAAATTATTAATTTAAATAATTTAAATATTAATTTAAAATAATTAAATTATTTTTCTGATGTTGTGTAATCGCTGAAAAATAAAATCAGTGGTTTCTAAATACAACATAGAATGAATTTAATAAGGAAATGGTTACGTGTAGGGGTTGTAATTCAGTTGTACTGTAGCTGGAGACTACTACATGAAGATAAAATTTGATTTTGAGCTATGTAGAAGAGTATTTACTAATAATGAACATTTTGTGTTGTGTCTCTCTTTGAATGCTTTGTCTTACCTGATCTTTGAATCTACAACAGCAGTATAGTTAGGGCAGGAGGGATGACTCAGTGTTTAAGAGCACTGCTATAGCAGCATATGCTCCCCATCCACCTGGCAGCTCACAACCATCAGTAACTCTAGTTCCAAATAATCCAGCACTTTCTACCTCCAGGGGCACTGTACACACATGATCTGTGCACACACATGCAGGCAGATACTCATACACATAATTTATTTAAAGTATACTTCTGGTGATGGTAGCGTTGATGTTGGTTGTGGGGTGTGTGTGTGTGTGTGTGTGTGTGTGTGTGTGTGTTTGCTCAAAGATGTGTGCCTATTTATTTATTTATTTATTTATTTTGTATTACTGCCCACAGCTTTACAGCAGAAAATTTAAAACATCTTTTATAATTTGAGCCTTGCAAATTCAGGAACTTATATTTAGTTGCACTGGTGATATTTGTAATGAAACTCACAATCTTAAAATTACCTGTTTTAGAAAGCGGCTATCTAGCTCTATAACAAATGTAGGCATCACAATTATTAACACGACAAAGAACTATTATTAAGCATCTGTCTGTGAGGGACACATGCTCAGTGCCAAACTGAAATGAGCATTAAGCTGCTGACCCATTCTTTCCAGAAAATGTGTTAAAGTGTTTTCCTGTCATTGTAACAGAATTGGACTCATCTGTCCACATTCTGGCTCTCTATCCCTCATCATCAATAATGCTCCCTTCAGAGACAGCTGGCCATTGTGATTCATCTTGCATCTTGGTAACAAAGCAGTTGTAAACTGGTACATCCGGGAATCAACTGCATGACTTTAGCTCAACTATCAATATATTCTAACCAATTATAAGTACTATAATTGATAATGCATGTGCTGTTTCTAATTTTATTTAGGCAGATTTATTTTGCAAGTACTTTGCCACAAAATTAATATTTTTTTGAATTCATATGCATATTTATACATTTTCTCATTTCATAGATGTAACATAAAGATCTGCACAAATAGATATATTCTGGTTTGTTTTCCATTGTAAAAAATTCAACATACTTTCTAAGTCTTTTCCAGTAGGAAAAAGAATCCATTTGTTTCTATGTATGATCTAGCACACATAGTTTAGTAGCAATGGCCTTTTCTTCTGCACTTATAGATGATGTTTTGAGTGACATCTTCCTAACTTATTGAGTTTTGCTGTCTTTCTCTCTTTTTCTTTCTTTATTTTTAAATATAAGCTCTTGGGATGTGGACTGGTAGAACCCGAGTATTGTAGTTTATGGATTTGTTACAACATGATCTACAGCCTGGTCACCATCAACAGAATTGCTTTAGTTTTAATATTCCATTTTCTTTTACTTTATATCATAATCAATGCACAAAGTACATTTGTCTAAAAAGTTAATTATTGTCTAACCACTCCTAGGATGATGTTGTACTAGAAAAATATAGATAACTTTACATCAATTGCATTTTGTGTATCTAGCAATCCAGATTTTAGACACTTCAGTGTTTGAAAGTAAATTCCCAAAGAGAATTTGGGATGATTTGATGTTGTAGATGTGTTGGAATCAGTGTGACCTTGTTAAAGAAAATGTGTACCTGTGGAGGTGGGCTTTGAGTTCTCATATATGCTCAAGTCACGACCACTACCACAGGTCACCTCCTGTCACCTGTGAATGAAGACGCAGAGCTCTCAGCTCCTTCTTAGCACAATGTCCAACTCTATGATGCTTTGCTCTCCATCATGACTATAATAAACTAACCTCTGAGCTCTAAGAGAGTCACAGTCATTAAATGTTTTAAGAAGACTTGCTGTGATCATTGTGTCTCTTCACAGCAATAGAAACTCTAACTAAGACAGGCACCTAATTTTAGGAATTAGGAAAATTCACATATACTTATGATAGTATTGCAACACATTAATTTAAGTATGAAACTTTTTTTCTTAATGAAATTCTTATTCAAATGCAGCATTTTTGAAGTGTGATGACAGTGACTTATTATTTTTAAACAAATGCTGAGATTAATAATTAACAAGCCAAGTTCTCAATTTGTCCCCAGATTTTAGTGGGCACTATATGTAGTAACATTTTTAACCTTTGTGATCTATTGCTAATATTTCACTGGACCATAATTTTGAGATGAAGAAACAGAGAGATCCAGGAATTTACTAAAAGGAACAACTGTGTTATTCTCTCTTAAATGCTTCTTGATTTACTATGTCCTGTGTTAAGAAAAATGGTACCATCAGAACAATAAGGATAAATACAGTATCTTTACTGCCAATCTCCATTTCTGGAAAACTACTGTTTCTTGCTGGAGAAGTGAACACGAGAGTTCTCCCTAGACAGAGGCAGGTGTTGCTTTTCATTTTGTGTGTCTTAGCATCTATGTTAGTCAGCTTTCTATCTCTGTCACAAAATGTTTGAGACAATGTAAAAATGAAAATTTATTTTGATTTACTGCTTCCGAATTATTAGTGTGTAGTCACTTGTTGCTTTCGGCTTGTGGCAGCACAGTGTATCATGGCAGGAGTATGTGGAGGAGGAATCCCATTTGCAGTCTGAAAATCGGGAAACATAATATTCAGGATGGGGCTGGGGTTCCCAAAATCTCCCAGGACCATGGGTCACTCAGTTAAACTCTGCAATTTGCCCTTCTCAAGTCCCACCACGTCCCTAAAGCACCATGGACTGAGGACCAAGTCTTAAATACAGGGACTTTCATAATCATGTCTGACTTAAACTGTATATGTATTACTATCTAGTCTGACTGCCCCTTAAGCAATAGCTTCAGCTGCAGCAGCCAAGGCTGAGGGGATTATGTTCTCTCAGGCATGGATTCTTTCAAAGCTACTAAGAAATGCTTTCTTAAGCAGGCTAAAGAACTCACAATTTAAGGTTTAGGTGAAATTCTGTTGCTTGGGAAAGATGAATAGCAAGTAGTTAACTTTCTCCTTTCAACCTGTGTCCTTATTTCGGTTCCCACTTTAAAAGCATTGCTGCTTGTGGTCGCTCCTTACCACTTCCTGTCAGCTACTTGTGGACACAAACTTCTGCTCACAGGTTGATTTTATTTCATCAAACACATCTTTGAATTGGTAACAGAAGCAGTAGGAAAAAATTTAACACATTTTAAAATAATATTCCTCAATATTCGCCCATTTTTCTAAAAAAAGTAAAAAAATTTAACTTCAATATAGTAAGACTATGCAATAAGAATAACTATCAAGTAAAGATTACATTCATAGTGTACAGATTTCCAATTCATTTGTGTCCGATAAATTTAAAGAAAATACTTAATAATCCATCTTATCTTGGTAAATTCAAATCTTTTACCTAACTTATTTTCTATCATGTCTAGAGAAAACTGCAACTTTAACTGTCTGGTTTTCAACTCCATCAAAGGCACCAGGAGAATATAACATTATGTAAGGAAGCAAAACCTGCATTGCAAACAACTTCCAAAAACCCTAGAAATGACAGAGACATATGATCTCTTGGACAGTCACCCAAAGTTCCTTTGCAATGTTGGGGCATGCATCTTCAGCCTACAGGTCCATAGCATCTGGCAGAATTTTCAACAAAGTAGGAAATT